TTCAGACACTTGCAGTAATTGATAACTAATAAATCTATATACAGAAAATCACATATAAGTGCATGGCTTGATGAAATTTTATAAGCTGAACATACCTGTGTAACCAATAGGTAGATGAAGAAATAGAAAATTATCAGAATCTTAGAAAACCCCACTTATATTCCCTTTTAGTCATTAGCTGAAATGTCCCTCTTCCCTGGTCGAGAATAACCTCTATCCTGACTTCTAACAGCATAAATTTGTTTTGCTTATTTTGGTGCTTTATGTAAATGGGATCACACAATATGTAAAATAGCTTCTAACAGATTCTCAGAGAGATCCCTTCTTACATTGAAACCCCTGAGACACGGAGAGAGAGCCAGTGATTGACATGTTTGTCAGTAGTTATTCATCACGGTCTTGATCTGAGAGTAGGTGATCTGATTTTAGAAGAGAAATATTGGTTACTGGATAGAAATAGTCCTAGAAGAGGAGGAACAATTCATTTAGCCACCATGGCTTTGCAGCCATGTGCTGTGAGTTAGTTCCTTTTGCCCTGAGTCTCTGCTCCCCATGCTATTTTTTGTCTATAATTTGATTTCCTGAGAGACCAGGCCCAGAAAAAATAACCACAATTAGCCATATTTAAACCTTTCCATGAACCAACACCCCAGTGTTTGGGGTTTTATTTAGTCTTTCACAGGTTGGTATTGGGAGTCAGAGCCCCTGAAATGTTATCAACACCAGATGTAATAAGACTGAATTTCTAGGGGTGCCTGGCTGGCTCAGTCAGAAGAGCCTGCGTCTCTTGATCTCAGGGTTCTGAGATCGAGCCCCACATTGAGTGTAGAGATAACTAAAGAAAATAAATAAAACTTGGGCACCTGGGTGGCTCAGTTGGTTAAGCGACTGCCTTCGGCTCAGGTCATGGTCCCGGAGTCCTGGGATTGAGTCCCACATCGGGCTCCCTGCTCGGTGGGGGATCTACTTCTCCCTCTGACCCTCCCCCCTCTCGTGCTGTTTCTCTCTCTCTCTCTCTCTCTCAAATAAATAAGTAAATAAAATCTAAAAAAAAAAAAGAAAATAAATAAAACTTAAAAAAAAAAGACTGAATTTCTAGATCTAGTTGCTAACAGTGATGGAGATGTGCTTACTATGATTTAGGTTCTATCTTAAGCACTTTATATATTTATATAACTTAAAAACAAACATACCCTTACATAGTTATTATTAGGATATTTTATAAATGAGGAAGCAGAGATTAACCAACTAGCCTAAGATCATGCCCAGATCACATAGATAGTCAGAGACCAACTGGGGAGTCACATACAGGTTCATTCACTTCCACTCTGAGTTTCTAGCCACAAAACTATAGTACCCCACAGAGCTCAAGTTCAAAGTCTGCTTGTGACAGTGAGGATCCACTTGAGTAGTTAGTTGTATTCTTTATCACTGCCATTTATCTATGCACCCATCTGTCCATCCATTCAATGATCTGTCCAATCAACCAATTATCCATCTGCTATTGTCTGAATGTTTGTGTACCTCCCAAATTCATATGTTGAAATCCTAAATCCTCAAAGTGATGATACTAAGAGATAGGGGTCTTTGGACAGTGATTAGATCATGAGGGTGGGATGCTCATGAATGAGATTAATGTCCTTCTACAAGAGGCAGAGGAGAGCTCCCTTGTCCCCTCCTGCCATGTGAGTATTCCAAAAGTCTGCAACCTGGAAGAGGGCCATCACCCAGACTATGGTGGCACCCTGATCTTGTACTTCCAGCCCCCAGAACTGTAAGAAATACCTTTCAGTTGTTTTTAAGCCTGTTCTGTTGTTTATAATAGCCAGGCTGTGGTATTTTGTTCTAGCTGACTGACTGGACTAAGACACCATCCAGCCTTCCAAACATCTATCCAAACCTCCATCCATTCATCTAATCATCCATCTAGTCCCAAATACCATGTGGCTATCCATTCCACAAATACCAAGGGCTCCTTCTAGGCTGATTCTATGCCAGGAAGAGGCTGAATGCAGGGATAATTAGGATATAACAGCACATGTAAAAGCTAGGTTCCCACTACACTTGAAACTCCCTGAGGGAGTTTATTTTTATATCGGCAGTACATAAAATATGATTTGGCTCCTGTCTTCCTTTCCAAACTTATCTCACCTACCTATCTTCTTGCTCATTCCTCTTCAACCACACTGGTCTCTTTCTGTTTCTGGAATAAGCTAAGCCCTCTTTTGCCTCAGGAGTTTAGTAATTGCTGTTCATTTTGACCCAAATGTTCATCCAACAGTGTCAATAACTGGCTCCTTCATATTCTTTGCATTTTAACTAAAATGTCTTATCCTCAGAGGGACCTTTTCTTACCACCTTATCTAAAGAAGACACTCTGCCCCTCTGTTAGCAACAACTGCTTATCACCTCATCCTGTTTATTTCCTTTATGGCATTTCTCACAATCTATAATCATCTTATTTATTCATTGCTTGTTTTCTAACTCCCTAATTAGAAAAATAAGCTCCAAGAAGCCAGCCACTAAGTTTCTCATGTTCTTTCTGCATGCCTTTGGCCTGGCTAGCCAGTAACTGACACATAGTAGGCCTTCAACATTTATTTGTTGAATAAATGGATGAGAGATGCATGACCAGATTTTCCCAATATTAGCAAGCTTGAAGAATAGTAGAAAACAACCTGAAAGATAGAGGAGGAATGGAGAGGGCCTTGAAAGACAAGCAGAAGGGGTTATACTTGATGTGAACATAGTGACCCAGTAGAGGCTTTTTAGTTGCAGGATGAAAATGGTGATTTAGAAGGAGGACTTGGTACGCCACAATCTGCCATAAATCCTTAATTTAAGTGATTCGCTGCAGTGTCTTGCAATGAATTACTGCAAGAGTTAATCAGGTCCCAGGACCTGAACTATATTTTTTCCCTTCTGAGAGATTATACAGTGTGGGAACTCATTATGGCTCTAGAAGTTTCATAGAACTATATGTAATATTTAATTAATTGACTATGGTGAATTATATAGACCAAGTGATCATGGTAAAAGCCCTGTAAGGTGATATCTGTGTCTGTTTACTGCAGGCATCTGGCCTGCAGGAGATAAATTATTTGTTCAATGAATGAGTGAATGGAATAGTCACGCACTTGGCAGAGTTGGGTTAGATAGGATCTGCTGCTAGCTGTGTGACCTCTGAGAGGATCTTTAACTTGGCTAAGGGTCAGTTTTCTCATCTGGAAAAGAAGGAAAAGACATAACTCACAGGATTTATTTTTATTTATTTATTTATTCATTCATTCATTCGACAGAAAGAGACAGCGAGAGAGGGAACACAAAGGGGGTGAGTGGGAGAGGGAGAAGCAGGCTTCCCGCGGAGCAGGGAGCCCGATGCGGGGCTCGATGCGGGGCTCGATCCCAGGACCCTGGGATCATGACCTGAGCTGAAGGCGGACGCTTAACCAACTGAGCCACTCAGGCACCCCTTAACTCTTAAGATTTTAAATGGGAGCTTATGGGAAAATCTCTGACAGAGTTTAATTTCCTTCTGCTACTTTGGAGATGCTAAACCTGCACGGACTAGGATTCCCTATGGGAGAGCCCCGGGGCTTGAAATAGAACATATGGTGATAACTTAGTTTTTGCCATTTTCAGTCCTTTCAATGTAAACCTGAAATTCTGTCTCTGAAATCTACTAGCTGACTGACCTTGGGCACTGTCTTTGTGCTTCAGTTTCTTTATCTGTAAAATGGGTATAATAATATTACCTGTCTCGTAGGAGTAGTGTAAGGATTAAGTGAGATGCTATACTGTTTGTACTAGGCCCTCATACACAGAAGATGCTCAATAAATGTTAGCTATAATTATTTAGAATTTTATTTTTTACTCCCCTTAATGCTGTCAACTTTTCTCCCCTCCCTCCTGTTGGCATTCTCAGTTCTTATAATCTCTTCTGGAGAATAGGCTGATTCTGAGGTGCAATCTGAAATAAATGGGTTTGGTAGATTCTTCTGGACATAGCAAATCCAGAGACTTAAAGTGGGAAGGGAAGTAGGAGCATTAGGACATTGAAGAGAGACTTTTTGAACCTGTGGCATAGAAGAGGCCAGGAAAGGAAAGGGCTTACGCAAGGAACCAGGCACGCCCACTTTTCCAGTCAATTTGGAGAGAGCAAACAATATCCACATGTAAGTCCCCAGTGCCTCAGGACTGCTCTCTGGGACGTTCATCAGCTTAATACAGTATGCATGGTGTCCCTCCTCTTTTCATTAGCATTTTCCTACTTTGAAATAAGTAAATTCATTGTTCCTAGAAAGTGGAGAGAAGTCAAGGAAAACACTCGTTGTGTGGGGGTTGGAGTGTCTGTCATGAGGTTATGCTGAATATCTTGCACATCATTCTATCCCCAACACCTAGCACGGTGCCTAGACTAGTAGGAGCTCGAAACATGTGTCTAGAATTATTTTCAAACTTTAGTTAGCCTTCTCAAAGAAGCTTGCCGTCCCCACACGCAGCCACAAGCAGGTCCGCGCCTAGAAATAACATTTATTCTAAGGCCCTCCGCGCACGGATTCTTGGGAAGCTGCTCCCCTCCCGCATTCTCCTGTTACTCCTCCCCTCGGTCGCCTTTGAAAGAACTGGCACGCCACGTGATTCTCTCCTTTATTCCCACCTCTGAAAGCCTGACTAATAATGGGCAAGAGCCAAAGCCAACCATAAAACTTTATTTCCTCTTCCAGCCAATAGAAAGAGCGATAAGTATATGGCTCAGCTTTTGTGACTTCCCCCGTCCCCTCACTCCTCCTCTAAGATTCAACATTTGACAATTCATCCGGCCAATGAGAAGTTCCTACTCTGTATGGGAGGGAGGGACTGACTGGGTGATAGACGCCCCCACCTAGCCAATGGAGTGTCACAATTGCGGGAGGGGTGTAGGACGGAGCCAATGGCGCGGTGCCAATAACGAGCGTCAGGGAAAGGGCGGGACGAAACTGTTCAAGGGAGGGAGGGGAAGGCCCAGGGAACCAAGCAGCGCTGCCGCCGCCGCTGCACCCGGAGCTGGAGGAGGGAGAAGCCAGGAAGAAAATGGCGGCTGTGGCTGCAGAGGCGGCAGCGACTGCAGCGTCCCCCGGGGAGGGGGGCGCCGGCGAGGCCGAGCCGGAGATGGAGCCCATCCCCGGCAGCGAGGCCGGCACTGACCCCCTCCCGGTCACGGCGACGGAAGCATCTGTGCCGGACGGCGAGGCCGACGGGCAGCAGTCTTCTCCTCAGGCCGACGAGCCGCCGCTCCCGCCGCCACCGCCGCCGCCGGGCGAGCTCGCCCGCAGCCCGGAGGCGGCGGGGCCGGAGCTGGAGGCTGAGGAGAAACTGCCCGCCCGGGTAGCGGAACCGGCGGCAGCCGCGCCTCAGGAAAGACCCGACCTTCCACCTTCCCCTGCACCACCGCCCGAGCAGCCCCCAGCTCCCGAGGAGCGCCAGGAACCGCCGCTGCCCCAGCCCGCAGCCCCGGCGCTCGTGCCGCCGGCGGGCGGGGACTCCGCGGTGTCGCAGCTGATTCCCGGCTCGGAGGTGCGGGTCACGCTGGACCACATCATCGAGGACGCGCTCGTCGTGTCGTTCCGTCTAGGGGAGAAGCTCTTCTCCGGGGTCCTTATGGATCTGTCCAAAAGGTACCGCGCCCGCCCCCAGGACGCCCCCGGGCCCGCTTGGTCCCCAGGGAGGGAGCGAACCAGGACGGCCCCTGTACCCCGGGCTCCCGCCGCCTGCACGCCCTGGGGTCCCGTGCGGGGCAGGGCGCGCGCTCCGAGTGGGGCAGGCGCGCGGGGCCGGGAGAGGGCGGTCCCCGCCCCAGGTGGGCGCCGGTGAGGGCCGGTGTGTTACCAGGTCGGGGGGCGCGAGGGCCTGACGGGCTTGCGGAGCTCACCGCTCACCCCCGGGCGCTCTCCGCGACCTGGCCCTGGCGCACCCACTCTGGGGGCTGGTGGGCTAATGCGAAATGCAGAAGGAGTTTTGCAGAGAACCTGGTGCTGGGCGGGGGACATTGCTCGTGAGGCACTTTTTTTTTACATGCACCTTTAACGAGGTTGGAGAAAGGGGTGTGCGCATTGGGGTTCCCAAAAGGTTAACTGTCACCCCTTATAGGGGGAAGAGTATTTGTTAGAAATGAACCTCTTGACTGTTAACTGTTAGAACTAATTACCCTTAGATAACTGTGCCTGAAGTAGGGAAGCACACTTGGCTAATTAAAATGATACTTAAGCCTAAAGAAGAGAGAGAATTTTTTTCTTTTACCCTTTAGTATCAGGATGAAGTGATACAGAAATGTTCAAATGTTGATTTCTAATACTGTAGATACAGTTTATGTATTAAGGGCAAGAAGGTGGAATTGACGCGCAAGCCTTTGGCGTAGCACATTTTCATCTTTGATTTAAAATGTGGGCATTGCTTTAAACAGGTAAAGAAGGTATTCTAAGTCTAGAGTTGAGTTAACCTTTTTATTCTCTTCTTTTGCAGATATGAAGTGCAGAGACTCCCATTCACGGCTCTCCATTCTGTTTCCTGCAACAGCACACACTCTGATGGGTATCTCACCTGTTTGGAAATGGCTTACTTTAATATGTTTTATTTTTTATTTAAAAAATTTTCTTATCTGAGAGAGAGAGATTGCGAACACAAGCATGAGCAGGGAGAGGGACAGAAGGACAAGCAGACTCCCCTCTGAGCAGGGAGCCCTGGGGATGGATCCCAGCACCCTGAGATCATGACCTGAGCTGAAGGCAGATGCTTAAGCACCGAGCCACCCAGATGCCCAGTGTGTTTTATTTTTAACTCCCTGTCCTCGCATGAAGGCACCAGTGTCGTTTTTCCATTTTGGGGGAAAAATTTTTAAAATACATGTGGAAGGCAGTTACAGGGCAGCAGAAATGTGAAAAAATAAAAAAATACATGTTGAAGTAGGGTGTTTGGGCAGGGGGGAAGATGGGAGCCTTTATAATTCTTTTTTTTTTTTTTTAAAAGATTTTATTTATTTATTTGAGGGAGAGCAGGGGTGGGTGAAGGGTCAGAGGGAGAGAAGAATATCCAAGGAGACTATTCCCTACTGGGGATGCCCCTCCATCCCCCTAACAGGGCTTGATCTCAGGACCCACGAGATCAGGACTTGAGCCGAAACCAAGAGTGGATGCGTAATTGGCTGAGCTATCCAGGTGCTCCACTTTTTTTTTTTTTTTAGAGCAAGCATGAAGGGGGGAGAGGGTCAGAGGGAGAGAATCTTAAGGAGACTCCCAGCTGAACGTGGAGCCCTACACTGGCTCCATCTCAGGACCCATGAGATCCTGAGCCGAAACCGAAGAGTCCTTCTGTTAACCGACAGAGTCAGCCGCGTGCCCCTGTAATTGTTTCTGTACATTGTTTAACCTCCGCAGTTTTTTTAGTTTTTCTCTTTTGAGAATTTTGGATTAGGAACTTTGCACTTCTGTTTTCATAGTTAGCAGATAAGACCAGTGTGCTTTCTACTGATGTATTTAATAGTGGAGAGACTCAGTAGTGTGTATGCTATTGAATCAAACAGAAGTGAAGGCCAGTGATTGTGTGAGAATCTGGATTTCAAATCTGCAAAAGGAAGGTGGAAAAAGGTAAGTTGTTCCTGGAAATGGAATGGATAGTTCTTTCCTCTGTTGAGGTGCTCCTTTTTTTTTTTTTTTTTTAAATTTTCTTTGATAAGAAATTGCAATTTATTTTTTGAGTTTTGTTCTACTTTGCTAACCCTGCCTCTTATAGACAACAATTTCTTTGGTGGAGGGAGCTATTTTTATTATGAACCTTCTGCAGTTTTTTTTTTTTAAAGATTTTATTTATTTGACAGAGACAGCAAGAAGGGAACACAAGCAGGGGGAGTGAGAGAGGGAGAAACGGGCTTCCCGCTGAGCAGGGAGCCTGACAAGGGGCCCGATCCCAGAACCCTGGGATCATGACCTGAGCCAAAGGCAGACATTTTAACCGACTGAGCCACCCAGGTGCCCCGCATTTTAATGTTTTGAAGTGAAAGGTCTCTGTCATTAAAGTCTTTTTTAAATGTTCGTTAAGGAAACCATATCAGCTTTTCATTTAACAATATTTATTGAGCATATCTGTGTGTAAGGCATCCTTCTAGTATTTTGAATGCTATGAGTTACAGTCCCTGCCTCTGGAAGCTTATATTTGGGAGGTAAGAATTGTGGAATTGGTGAAGAAATAACCGTGTTTTTTAAAATTTAGCACTTGAAGAAATTATTATTGGACTAATGATTGACTAGTTGGGTATCACTTTTTCATGCTATAATTTGGAAAAACGGATCTGCCTATATATTTTGTAATCTGCCCTTTACCTTGATTGCATACTTGATGCACAGTTTGGGGGTTAAATGATGATCCAGGAGATCCTCTTTATAGATTCTACCATGACCATGACTATAGTAATCAGCTGCTTTATTTTTTTTTTACTTTTTAATTTTTTTTAAAAAGATTTTATTTGACAGAGACACATTTAGAGAGGGAACAGAAGCAGGGGGGAGTGGGAGAGGGAGAAGCAGGCTTCCAATGAGCAGGGAGCCCGATACGGGGCTGGATCCCAGGACCCTGGGATCATGACCTGAGCCTAAGGCAGACGCTCAACGACTGAGCCACCTAGGTGCGCCAGTAATCAGCTGCTTTAAAATTGGACATTTAATGAAACTTTGGGTAAAAATAACAAGAGCTTCCTATTATGCACCAGGCATTCTACCACTTGCTTTAGTCTTTATAACCCTGGTGGTATTTTTCATTTATATAGGAGGAAATTGAGATTCATTTAACTCGGCCAGTTATTGAGTTTATAAATGGCAAAGTAAGGAGTCAAATGTAGGTTGATCTGATTCTAAAGCTTATACTTTTTCTACTTTTATATTAGAAGGTTGGGCTGGCAAATTTTCTTTTAAACAGTAAAGAATTGCATATTTCTGCAATTTAGTGCCTATCCTGATTTCAGTAGCTGTATGGGATAATACCAAGGGTATTAGTGTTGGAGCCAAGCAGATTCTTTACGCATTTGCCATTCTTCACCTTCCTGCCATTGTATTATTTTTTGCCTTATTCTTAGTTATTTGATTGAAGAACACATTTTTGAGGAGAATCTTTTCGTGGAGAAAAGGAACAGGACACATGTGATTTAAAAAAAAAAAAAGATTGATCTGGACAGAGTGTCAGGGTAGTTGGGGTCTGACTTCTGGTGCCAGGCTCTCCAGTTAACACTGACTTTGGGCAAATCTCCATGCCTCTTTGGGCTCCAGTCTCTCTAGGTCTTATGAGGCGAATTCATTTTGACTTTAGGCAGTTCACCAACCCAAACAAGCAAAAAAAACTTCATGCCTCACTTTATATATAAAGTGAATAGGGTGACAGGTGGTCTGGCTTTTCTGTACCATCCCAGTGTGAACTCACGTCTTCAAAGTAGCTTGCTTTGGCTACTATACAAATGACATGGTCACCCTAAAAATGAAAATACTTGAATATCTGATTAAAAACTGATTTATAGGATTTATTTGAAAAAACCCTTTAAGGCATTCTTTTATTTAAAAAAAAATTTTTTAAAGATGTTATTTATTTACTTGAGAGCGAGCACAGAGGGAGAGGAAGAAGCAGACTCCCTACTGAGCCAGGAGCCTGATGTGGGGCTGGATCCCACGACCCTGAGATCATGACCTGAGCCACACAGGCGCCCCCATTTTTTAGTTTATTCTAGGCTCCTCCACTGTTGTTTTATACCCAGCTCTCTTAGGTAGTTTGAATTACCTGCCTACCCCTGAATTCATTAGCAATATGTAATGACAGTAATCTAATACTAGCAGATAAAAATAATCAGCTAACCCACAAATTCAGTTTGGTTTTCTTACTTCCTTTTCTTCTTTAACTTAGGCTTTTGAAATTTTGACCTAAGTGCATTTATTTCTTTTAGCATTCTATAATAAGCATTCCTTCACATTGCTAAACTGTCTTAATGATTATTTTAGAGAGGATAATATTTTTTTTATAATTTTTTTGTTTTATTATGGGAAATGAACCTCAATGTATGTATTATCCTTGCTTTGACATTTATCAACTATTAAGACTTGTTTCATCATATGCCCACCTCCACTGGATTATTTTGAAGCAAATCTTAAACATATTTCTTCACCATAAGAATTTCGGTATAGATCTCTAAAAAGATAAAGATTTTAAGGCCATAATGTACAACTGTTAACTGCACCTAAAATAACTGCGGCAGTTCCTTTCTATCATCCTATGGCCCACCTAGTCAGTGTTAAAATTTCACAGTGTCTGAAGATTAACATCTCAATCAACATCTAAGTTTTGTTTAAATTAGGATCCAAGTAAAGTTTATACATTGCAATTGGTTGATGAGTTTCATAAATTTTTCATCTGTAGTTTTCCTGCCATTATATTTCCTTGAAGTTTATTTGTTAAGCCATGGACTTCGGCAGAATTTCCCACATTTTAGATTTTTTTTCCAATTGCATCCCATTGGAAGTTTTAAAAATAGTTTTTTTCCTTCAGGAGCAAACCGAAGGGGCAACCACAGCCCTCTGAGGGCCTCTTTTGAAAGTCCCATATTTTGGGTCTGTAGAAATGATACGGACATCTCTTGCCTGCTTGC